CCAATAGGCTTCTGTCACGTGGGAATTCCTGGACCTGGGTCTCTACGCCCTTGTGCATTCTGAATGCTGTTGCTTCTGTGATGTCTCTCCGCCTGTTGTCTGCTGAGGATGATCAGGTGCTGCTAATGTTGTGTGGTCACATAGAAACCCAGCCGAGAATCTCTCCCACAAAGAGCCCAGGTGTGGCACCTCTGTGGCCCACAGAGGATTGTCCATCTAGCAGCCTAGGGTTCCAGATAAATTCCCAAAATATTAGTTTTGTTTGTTTTTAAGTGTACGTGCTGCATGTGGTAGTGCACACCTTACAGACTCTATATTTAGGATGCAAAGGCACAAGTTCCAGGCCAGCATGGGCTACCTAGCAAGAGCCCGTCATAATTTATGTTTGATTCTGAGTCTATGGAGTCAGAATGTCATTATTGTAAAACTGAAAACTGCTGTGAAAAACTGATGAGACATTTAATGGGCAAAGATGCTATGCTCGAGCCCATACCAACTATATATATATATAATATATAATATATATAAGCTTTGCTTTATATCGAGTAGGAAGTGGTCAGCTTTGTCCTGTAGGTGTAGCCCAGTAGTAGAGCATTCGCCTAGTGTGCATGATGCCCTGGGTTCAGTCTCCAATGCCACAGCAGAGGGGGTGGGTGGGATCATTCAGCTCTAAAGCTGTTTTTAACACTGATTATGGACCAGGCTGGACCATTTCTACTAACCTGAGTCTTGTGGGTGAAACTCCAGGCTGAGGTAACCAAACTCCAGATCACACGTGTTGTTCACTCCAGAATCATGCTTGTTGCCCTTCCTGTACTAACGTTTCCTCAAATGGCCTGGCCTCCACCTCTTGAAACCCAGTGGTGACTTCTCCCGACCATCAGACTCTAAGGACAGTCTGTTGCCTTTGCAGATGCTTTTGTTTTGACACTTGACTGAAGTGGAAGGCCGCACAGAACAGTGTGCTGGCCGTGTCCCGGGCCGGTGGACCATAGCTAGACAGGAAAGAACAACAGCCGTCCAGGCTCTGGTGGTCTCCCTCTGGGCTGGCCACATGTAATGAGCCACCACTCAGAGTCTTGGCAAAGCAGAAGCCATGTCTCAGGGAAAGCCCCTGGTTGAAGTGTCTGTCCTCTATGAAGGCACAAAGGCCACTCTTGAATGTTCCGTCCTCTTGTCACTTTCAGGCAAAATAAACTTGGTTGTGTTCCTGCCTTTGTCGCTGTCTGTCTAAGCAGGCTGCGGGAGTGCCTGCACTGAGTGCCCCTGAGCCACACTACACCATGCTGAGCCTGCAGCCACTCCCCTTGGGAGTGAAATCCCATGGTGCTTAGAGGCAGGCTCCCAGGGACTGTTTTGGTTTTTTTGTTTTGTTTTGTTTTTGTTTTTGTTTCTTTTTAACAAGATTTATTTTTATTTTTATGTGAATGGGTGTTTTGCCTACATGTATGTCTGTGTACCACATGCATGCCTGGTGCCCAGGGAATCCAGAAAGGGTGTCAGATACCTTGACACTGGAGTTACAGACAGTTGTGAGCCAGCATGTGCTAGGAACTAAACCTGAGTCTTCTGGAAGAGCAGCCAGTACTGTTAACCACTGAGCCATCTTTCCAACTTCTTAAATATGAGTCTTTTTTTTTTAATTTTTATTTTATTTATTTTCTATCATCAGCTTAATACAGTACAAATTTTTATCCTAATAGTGAAATATTTCACTGATGCTTGCCCAGTGATTGAGTAAAACCAAAACTTACTATAAGCCACAGTTATCCTAGGGTTCCCCCTGCTATGTAGCCTCCCTGGATCTGAGGGTTGCAGTCTGATTGTTCTTTGCTTTGTATCTAGAATCCACTTATGAGTGAGTACATACCATGTTTGTCTTTCTGGGTTTGGGTTACCTCACTCAGGATGATATTTTCTAGTTCCATCCATTTGCCTGCAAATTTCATGACGTCATTGTTGTTTACTGCTGAGTAGTACTCCATTGTGTATATGTGCCACATTTTCTTTGTCCATTCTTCAGTTGACGGGCATCTAGGTTGTTTCCAGGTTCTGGCTATTACAAATAATGCTGCTGTGAACATAGTTGAGCATGTGTCCTTGTGGTATGATTGAGCATTCCTTGGGTATATGCCCAAGAGTGGTATGGCTGGGTCTTGCGGTAGATCGATTCCCAGGGACTGTTTTTGTGTCAGCCAATTGTCCTGAGAAGCCACCATCTCTCTCCCTGCGACTGCTTTCCCGCCTTGTTTGACATTCTAACAGCCTGGAGAGAGCATGTGCGTGTGGATGTCCTGTCTGCAGAGACCTGGGTGCTTGGGGAGGTGCTGAAATGATGAGCACGGGCAGGAGCAGAGCTACTAGTGGTCCAGGGGAGATCCAGTCACAATGGAGCCCTTACCCACCTGCCCATTTGCAAGTGGGGAGATAGGACTTGTCCAAGGCCACACAGTGAATTTGTTACTGAGCAGTCTGTTCTGACTTAGTATTGAGAACACTAAGGTTCACACCCTGGGAGGCCAACCGCCTGAACTCAGAGCGCATGAGAGGGCCAAAGTATGGCACAAAGTTCATGCAGGCTCCCCTTGAGGCCCCCTCCCACCAGACAGGCCACACTTCCAGGCCAACACCGCACCCGGCTGCTGTGGCCAGAGGTGGTGAAACAGATGCGAAGCACTGCCTTGCTCTCTCACCGTGCTCCAGAATGATTGATGTCACTTGTAGTGCTGTCGCCCCCATGGAGCGTCCAGGTGTGCAGATGAGAGAGAGATTCCTGTCATTGTCCACCCGGCCATAGCATCTGCTGGCTTCGCGAGGATCCTGGACCCCGGGAGGAGTGAGCACCCAGGCCAGCCCCACCTGCCATCGGCCACAACTTTGGGAGAGTCACTTGACCTCTTGGGAGCTCCATCTCCTCCATGTAAGACAGCACAGAGGTGATACCCAAGGCTGCTGCTTGTCGGGGTGAGGGTAGGGTAGCTCCCTGAGAGAAAGGTTCAACAAGCTTTTTAATGGAAGCAGCCTGGGGATGGTGTCCAATGCCATATGGTCCAGAGACTTCCCAGAAAGAACAGCCTTTGCTCTGAGTGGTATCCACACCACATAGATGCAGGTGACAGCTCCCATCTAGAGCAGTACGTCCAGGGGTAAACAGGCCTTGGTGAAACTCTCCAGAATTACACTATTGTCCCTTCTCCTGGGCCCATAGGTCTGTAGCCAGCACATACTGTGGGAGTTCTCAAGGCGAGCTTTTAGCTCTCACTGGAACGCTCAACTACAGACTTGATTTTTCTGGAAGTAGCCCTGTGGAGAGACCAGCTCTTCCTCAGTGTGTTACTGGGGAGCAGCCAGGCCCTTCCCTCTGGTTCTTCACTTCTGACAGCAGGAGTGGGGTCAGGAATGGTACCTAGAATCTATGCACTTGGGAGGCTGTGGCAGTAAGACAGTGAGGATTTGAGGCCAGCCAGGGGTATATTTGAGTGCCAGGCCCTTCCTGCTAGGTCACTTCCCTCACCAACGGCAGCCTGGAGACCTGGGGTGGGCCAACAGCTCAGCAATTGCAGTCATCAGGAAGGAACCAGAGCAGCTACCCTGACCCTGTGAACATGGACTGTGAGAGCCCAGAGCTGTCTGAGCTCATCCTGCAGCACAATGAGTGACACGCCAGGTGTGGTGGTAATGCACACCTTTAATCCCAGCACTCGGGAGGCAGGGGCAGGCGGATCTCTGAGTTTGAGGCCAGCCTGGTCTACAGAGTGAGTTCCAGGCCACTCAAGACTACATAGTGAGACCTTGTCTCAAAAAAAAAAAAAAAAAAAAAAAAAAACAGCTTAAAAGGATGAGTGGGTACCAGTGGCCTGACAGTTGGTAAATTATTAGTTGCCTTTTTCCAGGCACTGGCCCAGAATGTCCCTGCATCTTGACCTCTCTAAACTAGGTGAGCTTTCAAGTTCAAGGACTAAAACTAAAAGGACATGAGGATTGCAGCTAAGACATAAGGAGTGCTAGGCCGGTGTTTGAAGTATGTGAGCAGAGTGGGAGCACACACAGAGACAGCTCTTAAATCTCCGCAAAGTAGCTGAGATTGTTTAAAGAGGAGAATCCACAGGCTGGAGGACTACGTGACCCAAATGAGGTGAAGAGGAAGCATTAAAACGTCCGTAGTATCGTGTGTGTGTGTGTGTGTGTGTGTGTGTGTGTGTGTGTGTGTG